GTTACCACTGTAATGTCTTTATCTGCCCTGAAACATAATTTCAGTCCGTAACTTTTTTGTATTTGTAGATGATTACTGTGTATACCATTAATCTGCACTAACGCTTTCCCTTGCATTGATGTGTTTGGGGCTATTCAGGGATAGAGTTGGTATCGGAAGTTTCAGAGGAAGAATTAAAAGCTGCTTCGGGTCCAGTTCTTGATCTTCCAGAAGGAATCACAATGGCATACACAATACCAAACAAGGTGGTAAGTTCTTCTTAGCCAACGTCAAGAACATTTTATTTGGATTGGCTTTAACTTGTCAAGTTGCATGTGGGAATGAGCAATCAGTGCTGCTGTTCTGCAGTCTTCACTTCCAGCGTGTGCGTCAATGAAGTTGATGTTAGGATTCCTGCTCCGTGTTTGCAGTCATGGGATTGTTGTCTATCACATGACGGTGTATGTTTTCATTCCACAGTGTGGGAAGTGACGGAGATAGGATGTTTTGTGTTACTGTGTTCCGGAAAGTGGGGCTATTGTCCTTTGGTTTTTTTCTCTTTGCTGTCTGATGAGAAAGAGGAAGGAGCTAAGTCAGAATGCTCCGAGAGTATTATATGTAAATAAAAGTAGATTAGCCAAAATGCTGTGCTACTGAGTTCTGTTACGCAAACTGCAAATACTCTGCAGAATCATAAGTGTGCTGATGCCTGTTGGCATCAGTCGCTGTGATGTTCGGGCTGGAGAAAGCTTATGAAGCTCCCGAACGATCGACCAGGAGGGAGGGAACATGCCAGTCGGGCATGTGTCTCTACCAGGGTCCTACACGAAAGTAGGACAATCCTAACAGCCCACAACTGCTGTCATAGCCACAGCAGCACTGCACACTTTGACGTGTGCACCTTCCAAGCTTGGCTGTCGTAGCTTCCTTGGCGGAGAGAGCCTCTGCTCACTTGGCACTGACGTGCTTTGCTAACCTTTGCTTTACAAAGGGGTGGGAACCTCTGGCTTGTGAGGCCTCCAGATATCAGGCAAAGGGCATGCAGAGATGCAGTTGCCAGTGCACAGTTTGCAGCCTTGAAGTGTCCTCCTGCTTGCGGAAGGATGCTATCACCTGATAGGCCTTAACTAAAGTTCATTGGGATGAACTTCTGAGTTTCCCCCATAGGGATTCAGTAGCGTAGCCAACCACTGCAGAAGGTGGAGTTTGAAGTCAGCATTGATCATTGGTAACTTTCAGCCTTGTGTGACTAAGCTTGGATTTTCTGTACTTGCCATGCAAGGCAGGAAGAATGGGTCCCCTGACATGATGGTGATGTTGGGTGACTGACAGGTGTTAGTATTTAATTACGTTTGTATCTGGCCTATTTTACAAGAATGTGTGTGGTGTTCAGCACGCCAATCTTGTTGGGGCTTTTGGATTTGAGGCTATAGAGAAAAGGTGTAAAGGCATTTACTACTCTTCTTCCCTCACCAGGAAGAGAACGCTGTTACTGGGGAAACTGTTCCAGAATCTGAAGAAAGTCTAGAAGAACTTATGGCTAAGATGAAGAGCATCTAGCAAAAAGAACACTTCGAGATTACTGTAATTTCAGCAGCCAGTGATGTGTAACAGATTTAGTCTTTCATGAATAGTGCGTCGTCATGTTGTCTTTTTGTTAATTATGTGAAGACTTTATGGTATGAGGGTCCAGTGAAAACCAAGGCAAGCTGACAAGTTTAATATATAACACAATTGCTAGGCTGCCTTTTAAGCCCAGTTCAGGTTGAGCATAATCAGTTCCTCCTTAGGATGCCTGGATTGCAAAAGTGTCTAAAATAGTAACACTTGATCTGCTTAAGCTTATAGTTAGAAGAATGAAAAGCTATATGATATATAGAGAGAGCCTTGTTTAAAAAATGATTATCATTGCCATACACCCAAGCCAATTATGTCTGACTGTTACATGGAAAAGTAACTTGTTTGGTATACTTTTGTTAGCCGCAAGACAAGTCTTTTGGAAGACTTAGTGGGCTGAAAATGTGGGACTTGAGCCAATATCTGGGTCCTCTGGTCATGCAGTGTGTAATAGGAAGCATTGAATGCTAAAATTTGCTATCACCGATCTAACGTTATGGGAGAATACTGAATTCGGAAATGCTCTTGAGCCGTCATGCCTAAAATCCTCCATTTCCAAATAAGAAGAAAATAAAGCAATGAGGTGAAAGTTGCTTTGAAGTGATAAGAGAAAACTGCACTATGAGGAAGTTGATTGCAGCCCCCATGGTGTTTGGCAAATGATCTAGTCTATTATGTTCAATTGTAGATTATCACTCAAGTGGTGTAGGATAAAAAGCTCTGGGAAGCAGAAGTTGCCAGGGCTTCCTCCACCAAAGCATTTAATTCCCTTTCTAATCAGAGCAGGTCAACCAAAAATTGAAAGTTGGCAGGATTAATGACACTTGCAGTCGCTCAGCACTTACAAGGCCTCTTGCCAGTTGGTTTCTAATAATGTCACCTTAGTAGTATTTATTTAAGTAATATTTCAGGTATATATTTAGTAAACAAAGAAGCTGCAATCCAAGAGAAGCCTATCTAGAATCAATGGCCTTAATGGTATTTAACTATTTTTAAACCACCTGCAATAAACTACAGTTTACGCTTGCTGGACTGAATGTTGTACAGTCAGTTGGATAAGCCTGCTGGAGAAATGCTTTTCTCATTAACTGGTGATTAACATAATTAATTCAGATAGATTTGCAAAAAAAAAAGTGGTTTGGAAGTTTGATGGTTCTAGGTAATCCCACAATTAATTGCTTCAACTACTTGTTCAACCACACTCCATTCTGTTTCCATTCTGCATTTTTACAACAGCATTTTTGTGTGTCCTTCCTGTGAGTTACTTTCTTGGAAATAAACTTTATTACTAAAATAAGCTCAGCATCAACCAACCAATGCGTTATCTACTTGTGTGCTTTTATAGATTGCTTTCTACCTCTGGACTTTGTGCTCAACTCACAACTATTAAATGTGTTACAAGAGTTTTGAAATTTAGACTACCAGCATGTCTAGAATTCAGCTTTAACATAACTTATATTGGTGCAGTTTATACCATATCCAAGTTTTGTTGCCAAAGGCCTGCTTCTTGCTTATAAACATTTCAAATTAAATCATTATTGGAGTGCAAACAAATAGGGTTAAGACTAATTGAACCATTTGTTTCTAAGCTACCACTGCTTCAGCCTGATGCCTAATACAAAGAAAGGAATATTTAATACTTTACTGCAGCCCTGTTCAATATTCACCCATAAGTATGATTTGTTTTCAGTGGGGGTTGCTAATAAGCTTGCATGAATATGGTTGCTGTGCTGAGTGCCACGTATCAAGGGGAATATATTAACTGCGAGAAAGCAAAGATGTATAGAACCAGCTAAGTTGGAACAAAAAATGGTAAGGGAAATGCGCAACCGCCAACTATAGCTGTTTCCTGAAGGTCAAAAGAAAAGCACCCCACACAGCTCAAGAGTACATGGTCCCAGCTCTAGATTTTGAATATGTGGCAAACACAAAGCAGGCTATTCAGTTAAGAGTTTCACTTCCTCACAATTTAGTGTGTATCCCAAAGGAAGTGTAACTGGACAGCTACAAATACTGCTTTTAAATTTCATAATTTACAGAAAGATTGATAGTCAAATGTTTTTTCTTTTTTCTCCACTTTGGAGGTATAATAATAATAATAATTTATTCTTTATACCCCACCCATCTGGCTGGGTTTCCCCAGCCACTCTGGGCGGCTCCCAACAGGATATTAAAAACATGATAAAACATCCAACATTAAAAACTTCCCTAAACAGGGCTGCCTTCAGATGTCTTCTAAAAGTCAGATAGTTGCTTATTTCCTTGACATCTGGTGGGAGGGCGTTTCACAGGGCGGGCGCCACCACCGAGAAGGCCCTCTTCTTGGTATCAAAAGCTCTGACTGTAGAGTCACATTAAATCCAACAGAAGTAGGAAAAGACATTACAGAATGACAGCTCAGTTCCAACAAATCCTTTATACCTGGTCAAGGAGAGAAGGCGCTGTAACTAAAATAACCTGATTAATATGTAACACGAATAAGCCTTGGGCTTGTGTACTCCCTATCTTCTCTAGTGCAGCCACAAGGAGTTCATTAGCCATCACTTTCAATTGTGTTGTGTCCAAACCAATATTTCTGGTTAAGCTTAACTATGGTCTATTGAAACAAATGAACATCATAAAACCCAGTTTGAAGTTGGCTTTCCTCTGTAAACTGCAGGACAAATGACAGTTTTGAGTTCAGCAAGTTAAAAACAAGGGGAAGCCTCTGTTCCTTTTGTGGAAGATAACTCACCTTGGATAACTCTACTTGGCTGGAAATAAGGGAGGCATGCAACTTAGCTTTCTGCCCCAATCAGGAAGCATCTCCCTATTTTTGCTCAAATCAAGAACCTCCATCTTTCTGCACCTCTATCTTTACTGCTTCACCTGAGCCTCCTTTCTCTGCACCTAAGAAAGGTATTATAGATTATATACGTACCTGTCCTTATAATCAATGGGACTTAAATCCATGTAATGTATGCAGGACTGGAGTGTCAATATAACTAAAACTACTTTTTAACTGTGTGGAACAGTCTGCAAAACATTCGGCAATACTGGGGGGGGGGAGGTGTTCAGGGCACTGCCATCCTCCTCTTATTCAGACAAACCCATTTGATGTGGGTGGCGCTGTGGTCTAAACCACTGAGCTTCTTGGGCTTACCGATCAGAAGGTTGGCGGTTTGAATCCCCACAACGGAGTGAGCTCCCGTTGCTCTGTCCCAGCTCCTGCCAACCTAGCAGTTCGAAAGTACGCCAGTGCAAGTAGATAAATAGGTACCGCTGCAGCGGGAAGGTAAACAGCATTTCCATATGCTCTGTTTTCTGTCATGGTATCCCATTGTGCCAGAAGCGGTTTAGTCATGCTGGCCACATGACCCAGAAAGCTGTCTGAACAAACGCCGGCTCCCTCGGCCTGAAAGCAAGATGAGCGCTGCACCCCATAGTTGCCTTTGATTGGACTTCACTGTCTAGGGCAGTGTTTCCCAACCGGTGTTCCGCGGCACACTAGTGTGCCACAAGACGTTGCCTGGTGTGCCGTGGGAGGGAGGCGGGCGAGTCGGGCGGCGAGAGGCGGGGCGGCGGCGGCGAGGATCCGCGTCGAGCCGGGGGCGGCTCCGCGGTGGTGGTGCCGAGGTTTCTCTCTCCATTCTCCCCTCACACACACACACAGGAAATAACACAGGATCAGCTGACAGGACCCGGCCAATGGGGCGGCGGCGGGGCAGCGCGCGCAAAAGGGAGGAGCGCGAGACAGCGGACGAGGAGGAGGCCGGCATGTCCGGGCAGCAGCAGCAACAACAGCAGCAGCAACTCCCGGCGACGGCTCCTCAAGCCCCGGGCAACCCTACTCCCTCACCGGCCTCGGCCGCCCTCCTGCTCCACCCGCCGCCGCCTCCCCCGCCACCGCCGGCCACCTTGGCCCCGCCGCCGCCCCCTCCTCCGCCCGCTATCGCCGCCACCACCACAACAGCCGCCGCCGCCTCAGCTGGGCCCATGCCTCCCGGGAGCGGCGGCGGCAGCAGCAGCAGCAGCGCCCCGGCGCCCTTCCCTCCCGGCGTGACGCTGCGCGCTGACGTCACGGGGCTGTAATGGTGGTGTGCCTCAAGATTTTTTTCATCAAACAAGTGTGCCTTTGCCCAAAAAAGGTTGGGAAACACTGGTCTAGGGGTCCTTTCCCTTATCATCACCTTTGTCCATGTTGCAAAAAAACATTGGGAGAGAAAGCACTCTTCAAACTGAGGGTGTCTCCACTGGATGAATGACGGGACGCTGCCTTGCCACCAATCAACAAAGTCTCTGCTTCTTTGATTTCCATGGCTCTCTTATAGAGCTCGGCAGCCTTCTCAAAATCTCCTCCCTCATAGCTGGGGGGGGGGATGAGAGAAAACAAAGGAACAAAAAACATTCCACATTGCTATTCCAGAACATTTGCAGATTAGTAGTACAACTGAAAAAGTTATCAAACATTAACTCGTATTTCCCACTTTTCTGGAGATTTAAAGTCATCCCCACCCCCAAATCAAAATATACTACTTCTGTATCACATTAAAAAGTTCAAAGAAACTTTGTCAGGTATTTCTGAACCCCACCCCACCCTCCCACCATACTGCAGCTTTTGCTCTGGTCCAAAGATCTGGTGTGTGAACCTAGGATTATTCAGTAAGCAAGTAGTGCGCACATACACTTTTTTAAAATAACAAGGTAGGTTGGTTAGATTAAATGTTACCTAAGCACAGCCAAATTCTTTAATGTTTCTCCCACACGAGGATGCATCCGCCCAAAGCTGTCTTCATAAATTTTCAGCGCTCGTTCGTAAAGAGGCAAGGCTTCAGAGTGCTTTTTCTAGAAGTATTAGGGCACAAAAGATAACAGGTATTGCCAAAAGTGTTTGTTCAGATCTGAACACTTAAGTTTCATTAAAATTTTACATTCCAACTACTGGAAACCATAAGATGTCTGAGCTTAGGAGAATAGCTTGTAACTACTCTCACATTTTGGCTAAGGTTATGATAAAAATCTGAGAGCTGGAAGGCAGGAACGGGTGCTGCAACTTTTATAAATTAAGCCAGGACACCAAGCCAAAGAATTAAAACAGGCTGTGCAAGGCTTAACTTCTGAAGATGAGAAAAGCTGGGATCATAAGTTGGCCTGAATGCAGACTGAGTCCAAAGGAATGAATACAATGTAAGCAATGAACACCAAATATTTCAGCCAGAGTTTGTCTGTCTCCCTGCCTGCCTGCCAAAAAAGAAAAACATTTGAAGAAGTCATGAGTCTTCTTCAAAGATCGCCAGCTATTACCAGAGCACTTGGATATCCTCATCTGCGAGCAAAACCACAAAAAACAGAAACTGTATGGTAGGTGAGGTTTGCGTAGGAGAATTTTCCAATGTATTTGTAAAGTGTCCCTTGGGGTTTTCTGCCTATTCTGTCCTGCGCTATAAACAGATAAGAAAGGGTGCTCTGTGAAACTCCCAAAGGAACCATGTGAGTAAGGGCTTTGCTAGGGAGCCTGATCTGCCTGATGCGAATTATGACAAGTAGAACACACACATCCCTTCCTGTGAACTAACTTGTGTGGCAGTCAGGGAGGAAGGTGAAGGAAAACATTGAGAAAATAATAACCCTGATGTTTCATATCCAAACTGCTGTGCGAGAGAGAGAAATCTTGCTGCATGCCAGAGGATTTGGGCAAGGGCAGTGATGAGTGGTAAGCGAGCCAACCTAACACCTGTGGGTTCCTGTTTATGGGTTTTTAACAGGTTCCATCATGCTCTAGGGGTTTGCTAGCAAGCAAGGACTTGTGCAAGTGGGAATGGGGAAAGCCATTGGCAGCTGTGCTCAAAAAGTACTATAGTAAAGGTAAAGGGACCCCTGACCATTAGGTCCAGTCGTGACCGACTCTGGGGTTGCGGCACTCATCTCGTTTTATTGGCCGAGGGAGCCGGCGTTTGTCCTCAGACAGCTTCCGGGTCATGTGGCCAGCATGACTAAGCCGCTTCTGGCGAAACAGAGCAGCACACGGAAATGCCATTTACCTTCCCACCGGAGCGGTACCTATTTATCTACTTGCACTTTGACGTGCTTTTGAACTGCTAGGTGGGCAGGAGCAGGGACCGGGCAACGGGAGCTCACCCCGTTGCAGGAATTCGAACCATCGACCTTCTGATCGGCAAGTCCTAGGCTCTGTGGTTTAACCCACAGCGCCACCCACGTCACTTACAGAAAGTAATATATAGCTATACAAAAATGTGAACCGCCCTGAGATCTTATAATACTATGCTGTGCCTCTGTATTTGCTTCCAATTAATGTGAAAACACACATTTTTAGTCCTATTTAAAATCAGCATTTTATATTTACTTCAGAGAGCTGCAATAGAGATTTTAATCTGGGTTTTTCCCCTCCTCTTCTAATTGGCTACATTAAATTGTGGCATATGTTGTGCATATCATTCATTAACCATCCCTGATATTGTGTATAAAAGGAGAGGGCAGAGAAAACTTACCATCTGGCAGTAAAGAACTGCTAAGTTCACTAAAGCAGTGGCCACACTGGGGTGCTTTGGACCAAAAGATTTCTGCCTGATTTCAACAGCCAACTCATACAGAGGAACAGCTTTGTCAAGCTTTCCCTAGGAAACAAAGCAAGCGTGAGCTTGAGAGGCAGATCTCTATAGTCTTCTTTCCTTTTAGAAATGCAGCACATTCAGTCTATGCTGTCATCAATCGTTGGTTGAAGTCAAATGAAAATGTCACTATTTGCAGCGCTGTGCGATTACTCTGGACTTAATATACTTGGCATAATTTATTCTGCTTCTGTTATTTCCACTGCACTGTCACGGCAAGCTACTGTGTAAAGCCCCAAGCTAGGTGAGAGCTTCTGACACTTAAAACGAATAGCGCATTCACACATGTATTGCTCTTACCATCTTCTTGTACAGGACAGCAAGGTGTTTCACTGTGTAGGCCAGAGACGGGTGGTCTGGGGCCAGCGCTCTTTTCCTGATGTTCAGTGCCCTTTCGTACAGCTCCTCTGCCTTGTCGTAGTTCTTCTTCTCGTTGCTGAGGGCTGCTAGATTATTCAGAGACTGGGCACAATCTGGGTGGTCAGGTCCGAGAACCCGCTCTCTCATTTCCAGGGAGCGTTTGAGGAAAAGCTCTGCTGTCCTAGAAGCATGTCCATTTTAAGGGAAACCATTAATCTGCTGCAGCGAGACTGAAAACGCAGAACTGTAAGTGATTTAGTCAATGCATCCATCAAAAGTGGATTAGCTCATACCAGAACTTGCAGAGCAGTTGTACATCCTTTGTTTTACCAGTGCTGCAGGATGGTATAATTCTACTCCAAAGCCAGTGTGTTCCACTGCTGATGAAGAACCGTGACCCTTCAGTATATTGTGCTAGGAATTTGGCTTGCTTTGTCAACCCTTGACTTTTCCTTTCAAGAAGGAAAAAGGTTTCTGCCTAACCATGTTTGCAAGTCTCATGCAAGACAAGTTTTCTCCATGCATGAGCAATACCCACTGTCCTTTAAATGTACTTGCATATGCAAATGAAACAGATTATCTAGGTAGCCAGGGACATAGCAATTCCCATAATTGCACCACCACTTACCCCAGGACCTGTGATTGCTCAATGTTTGTTGGACCTGCCCTGATACACATCTGCTAATTTTATCAAAAATCAAAGCAGAAAACTCAAAACCCCAATAAGATAACAGACGCTGCATTTAGGACCACATTCGACAGTCTTTCTCCTGATGGTCCTGAAGTCATCTGATATCACTATCAGCCCTTCTCTACATAATGGACACCATAAAAATTAGGTGTAGGGTTGAAGTTAAGCATACACATTTAAAACACAATGCCTAACACAGGCAAACTCGACCCTCCAGATGTTTTTGGCCTACAACTCCCATGATCCCTAGCTAGCAGTACCAGTGGTCAGGGATGATGGGAATTGTAGTCTCAAAACATCTGGAGGGCTGAGTTTGAAGAAGCCTGGCCTAACACATCTGGAAAAATAAGTAGAGAGGGATTGGGATTGTCCAGCAGATTCTGGCCCCCTACCTCACATGTCACCTGCATATGGATAATGCTGGCTGCAAAATTATGCTTCGGTCCAAGCTGATAAAAATCAAGCTGCCTTATAACTTTGAAACTGGTGTAGATAGGTGTGAAGTGGCCCAAAGTCCATGTAGGAAGATACTTGTGTTAGAATTCCTGCTCCATGGTTGCAGTCATGGGATTGTTGTCTTTCACATGATGGTATATGTTTTGACTCCACAGAGTGGAAAGTGATGGAGACTATGCTAGAGAGAGAGGGAGCCATGTTGCAGTGCTCCGTGTGTGTTTATATGTAAATAAAGTAGATTAGCCAAAAGCTGAGTTGCTGAGGTCTGTTATACAACTGCGCAAACTCTGCGGATCCCTAAGTGTGCCGATGTCGGGCTGAAGAAAGCTTATGAAGCTCCCGAACAATCAACCAGGAGGGAGGGAACATGCCAGTCGGGCGTGTGTCTCTGCCAGGGTCCTACTCGAGTGTAGGCTGAGCTCCTGACAACCTGCACATTGGAATTGCAAGTCCTTTTGGCCATTTCCTTCAAAAATGGCAGGAAATGCAGCAGTGACACATACCTGCAACCTGAGTTAGTATATTTGATGTTCCTTCTTTCACATGGAACACAGGCTTCAAAACTTGTAATGCATTGCCAGTTCTAAGAGAAAGGAAGCCATGTAGGTTGTTACAGAATCACTACTTACTCAAGATTATTTTGGAGGTAGTAGAGAACTCCGAGCTCGTTAAGCGTCCGAGCATTATCGGACGTATCTTTTCCCAAAGTGAGCTCTTCTAGCTGCAGGGCTCGTTGGCGAAGAAGAGCAAATCCATACTAAAAAGGAGATTAAGAAACTCACTGCCTTGACCTTCTATATTTTAAGCCTTGAAATAGCAAAAGCCTTATAACAAAGGAATAAGACATTTACCAGGCTTCCTTTACGTCTCACAGCTTTTTGCTGAATTTTTAAGGATTTCTTCCTTAGCTGTTCAGCTTGTTCGTATCTAAAATGAATAAAATCAATTACGATTTTGTTTGACTTACTAAGAGTTCAACAGTACTTTTAACGGGGGGATATAACCCTTCTTTCTCACCAGGCTAGTGGGAGATCTTGACTTCTTGGGGTGCAATTTTATGAGCAAGTATTGTCAGGGTTTGTTTCAGTACTGTAATGGCCTATATATGGAGGACGACACAGCAGCCGCCGTTGCCTATAAAAAGCCACCAGTGACTGGGTTTCTGTATAAACAGAAGCACATTTCCTCTTTCCATTCCACTTGCTGCATGGATTACAGAAATTAGGCACAGTTGCAGGTGCCCAGGTGAGATGTAATTCAACACCCATTGTATCACATTAACATGAGCATAAATATCTAAACTGGCCCATGGATGGAAGCAAGCATCTGTGAAGCCCAACAAAAACAATTCTTTAAAACCTGATTTCAAAAGACCCACAAAATCAGTTGGTACAGATGACCGAAAAGAAGAAGGCTACCAGGCAATTTAACAGTACTCTCTGCCTCAAACCAATCTCCTATCCCACTCTATAATTTTTCGGGAGACATAAAATAATGCTGAAGATCAAAGAATCATTAGCATACATCCCTTGCCATACTAGTCTGCCGAAAGAGAGGGAGGCTCTCTCCCCAGCCTAAAGGCTTCCACAACCTCCTTCCCCAAGCTACCCTTCCAGTGTCCCAAAACCAAATTTCTTTGCCCCACAGATTTTGCAGCCCAGTTGCCACTCTGGAGCAACATCTTAGGGAGGAGAAAAAGAGAGAGAGATGAAGGAGAAAATTGGCTGTGCTTACTTGTTCTGTTTCTGATACAACATTGCGAGAGCATCAAGTTCACGAGCGACCCTGAGATGTTCAGTCCCGTAAGCATTTTCGGAGATTTCCAGAGCCTGCTTATACAACTGTTCAGCATTACCAAACTTCTTCCATTGCACATAAACGCCAGCTAACTGATGGAGTGACTGGGCAACTCTGGGGTGGTCTGGATCAAGGGCAGTCTCCCGAATCTCCAGCGAGCGCTGCAAAGGAGCAATGGCCTATAAAAGAATATATATATATATATATATATTATTTTTTTAAAAAGGGGAGGTGGGGTTGCCCAGGAAATTCTATTAAAAGCTCTCCACCTTTCCACCTGCCACTTCCTAGTGGTGCTGCAATAAAAGTGCCAGGACATTTGCAAAGCTAAGCAGGGTCCGGTACAGTTTTAAACTGGATGGGAGACCACATGTTGAGATACCTGCATTGTAGTGGGATTGGACAGGATGATGCTCAGGCTCCCTTCACCTCTATGATACTATGACTCTGAAAACTTTCCACTAGGTGAATCGAACTGTCTGTTTGACTCCATATAAAAACGTAGTTCCATACATTGTGAAGGAGGAAATAAAACACTGCTTTCTCTGGGTGTTGGAAGATGCTGCGTACACCTTATACAGGTTTTTCCAATCACTTTCCACAACTATGCCAGTCCTTCAACGGACTACCTCCAGATTGGTCTGCATTGTCTTTTAAGAGGCTTGATGTGAGCCGAAGATTCCATCTCTCGTCTCTTGAGACCTAACAGAATGACTGTGGGTGTTCTTCTCCACCGTAATCTTCCCCGGGATAAATATAGTTATCTCCATTAAAAAAATAGATAAAGCTTTTTTAAAAATACAGTGGTACCTTGGGTTACATACGCCTCAGGTTACAGACTCTGCTAACCCAGAAATAGTACCTCAGGTTAAGAACTTTGCTTCAGGATGGGAACAGAAATCGTGTTCCGGCAGCGTGGCGGCAGCGGGAGGCCCCATTAGCTCAAGTGGTGCTTCAGGCTAAGAACAGTTTCAGGTTAAGAACGGACCTCCAGAACGAATTAAGTTCTTAACCTGAGGTACCACTGTAATAGCAAAAAATAATGAACCATTTGAATGAAAACTACAGTTCTCCGTGTATCCAACACTGCACAAAATGGGATACCCGTGGCGTGTCACTGTGGGACATAAGATTTTCATTTGCTCTTTTGCCCACCAAATGCACTTACCTGACTGAGAAGACCCAGGTCTTTAAGAAATCGCCCCAGAGTTTCATAAAGATCAGCTAGAGAGATCATGCTTTCTTCCCCCTCGCAGCTTTGCTCGTAAAGTTTAAGGGAGCTAAAATACTCTGCCGCCATGGAGCTCTTATCCTTCCCAAGAAGCTGCCAGTAACTCAGCAGTTCTGCAAAATGGCCCCTGCAAGCAAGGAAATACGATGCAGGAGAAGTTCCAAGGAGTAAATTCTAAACACATTTAATAAAATAAAAAAATTCCTTCCAGTAGCACCTTAGAGACCAACTAAGTTTGTTATTGGTATGAGCTTCCATGTGCATGCAGACTTCTTCAGATACACTGAAACAGAAGTCACCAGACCCTTATATATAGTGAGATAAATAGATAGACAGACAGACAGATAGATAGATGATAGATAGATATAGATAGATAGATAGTGAGAGGGTGGTGAGGGGTATTACTCAGAAGGGTGGTGGGAATGGGTGATTGGCTGATAGGTGTGGTAAACCCGTTGACGACTGTTAACGACTGCAATTGGTCTTACAGGAAAAAGCAAGAGGTGAGATGGCCAAAAATAGCTTTATCGTGATACCCCTCCCCACCCTCTCGCAATATATAAGGGTCTGGTGACTTTGTTTCAGTGTATCTGAAGAAGTGTGCATGCACACGAAAGCTCATACCAATAACAAACTTAGTTGGTCTCTAAGGTGCTACTGGAAGGAATTTTTTGTTTGTTTGTTTCGACTACGGCAGACCAACATGGCTACCTACCTATATCTAGAACATTTAATAAAGGTTCTGGCCCCATAAATACATTTGGTGGACACCTCTGTTACTCCTTATGTTCATCACGCTGGGTCTAAAACAGCCAACGCAGTCCATCAAGGTCTGAGGGCTGCTCATCCCCCCAAATTACTACCCCACAGGGGGGAAATCAAGCTCTTAATAACAGTATCCAATTTAATCCTCCTCCTTCTCTAGTCAGGAACCTATGAAGCTACACCATGGTGAGCAATTGATAGGAGGGCTTCTGAGTCTCGCTTTGTTATGAGCTGCTGGGTGAGCCAGTTATCCAAAATGTGTCAAAGTTTTGGGAGAGGTCTCTAGGGCAGCACAATGACACTCCCCCCATCACAATCAGTATACGTGCCAACTCTTTCGCAAGTATACACATGGGCTCTCTCAATTGTCATTTGCTGCTTAATTCAACTACCTCTAAAACCGTATAAGCAGAGCTGCACCATTTAAGTATGTTAAATTATAAACATGTATGACCAAAAGGAGCTATCTAGCCTAGCGTTGTCCACTCCCGTTGAAAGCAGTTTTCCAAGGCCAGGTCTTTCCCAGATCTACTACCAGAGAGTCTCCTCAACTCTATAATGTTTCTGAACTCTTCCTTACATGAGCCCAAGGCTCATTCTCACCTATGTCTCAGCATGATGAATCAACACAGCCATTGGTTCTGCCTTATTGGTCAGTCCCACAAAAGCTGAGGAAAAACACACTTTAGTTCTTTCCCCCAAATTCTGACTACCACAATCTTTTGCAGAGTCTTCCCGCTTACTACACATATCAGATTCTCTTTCATTCTCCCCAGTCCTGACACAATAGCATCAAAGGTCCTGGCAGTTCCCTCTCTTTTGAACCCAGGGCTCCCTTGCATGAGCCAAAAAATACGGGGGAAATAAGGTGCAAAAAGAAAATGTAACCAAAGCCTCTGTTGCTATTTGCACCGAGGAAGGGGAATTAAGAACTCTTGAGCAGCTGGGGTGCTTGAATTAGATACTCATGATGTTACTCAATATTTCTATCTGGAATGAGCGTGTCTGTATGTATTTCTAGGAACGTGTGCTTATTTAGAAATGACACACTAGCAATAAGAACCTGCAAACCAAGACATAGTTCTTACCTTTTATAAAGGTTCTGAGACACAAAGAGATTCAGCAGGCACTTCTGCAACTTTTGCCTGTCCCCTTGCTGCTGGAACAACCAGGGGAGTTCATCCGCACTCCTCCAAGTCACTCTCTCTTCGCTGATGGGAGAGCAGAAAGCAAAATACAGGGGTTGATAAAATAGTCATGCACATTGGGCAATATTACAACACATCTTCTGCAAAATGCCTTATCTGCATAGAGTCTATCTAATGTTTTGGGCTAGATCCAATACTAGTCATAGTCAGAGCACACCCACTGAAATTGATAGACATGCCTAACTTTGGTCTCCTCTGAGTAGAACTTAAGATGGATAAAACCACACATCGTTTCAATTTATATCCTGCCTTTCTAAAAAAAAAAAAAAAAAAAAAAAAAAAAAAACCAGCACCCAAACCAGCTAAGCAAAGGAAAAACAACTATTAAAACATCTTTAACATAAGATGAAAAAAGGAGATAAAACCAAGTTGAGACCCCACTGCCAGATTTTTGCCTGGGAATCATAAAAATCTTGCCCTGGTCCCAAGTTAATGCTTTGCCCAAATCCATCCACTGAGTCTATAGCAGAAGTGAAATCTGAGATGAAGACTTCCTGGTCTACAGTTCAGACTTTTAGCCACTGAGTTATAAAAACCATCTGTCAACTATGGGAAATACTGAATTATTTGTTTCTCTAATTTCCTGAAAAGTCTACCTTAGTTGCATGGTGAAGTAGTCTATCAGTTTTTCTCTGAAAGTAGCAAAAACATTCTGACCTTCTTCCATGTATTGCAGCTTGACAGTCTCCCAAGCCTAAAAAAAACCACACAAAATACACAGAAGACAATGGTTGCATTGCATAAATTGCAGCACAATTCTATGCATATCTTTTCAGAAGTAAGCCCCACAGAGTCCAATTAGACCTACTCCCAGGTAAGTGTGTGTTACAATGCAATCCTATGCATGTTACTCAGAAATAAGTCATAGTACGTACAATGGGGTGCAGCTAATAAAATAGGTTTAGGACTGCAGCATTAATCTCTCAGATTAGTAAATTGTGAACTGAGGATTTTGAAGTCTCATCAGAGAAAGCAATGAAGAAAAACCAAGGCTGGTACATTGCATAACTTAACTGCTTAATATAAGGCTGGTAAGGCAAGGAAATCCAAAAATCTGGAATGAATTTTACATTAAGAACATAATTCCTCATGCCTGGGGTATGTCTGTGTGCAAGAGAAAGAGGGAGACAAAACTTCCCACCAGGACTGGAACTATAATTTTTCTCTCCTTGAGCACAAACTTCACGATACGTGAAACAGAATGGATCTTAAAAGATTCTTTTTGTAGAAAATATTTGAAAATGCAAGGAGGAGGAGTGATATGCATATATTCTTTCATTTTGCCTTCTATAAGAAGCTGGCAGGTGTCAGATACCTTTGCAAGAACATCTTACCTGAAGGTGTCGAAACTTTAACAAGCCACAGCCGTATGTCAAAAAGCACATCTTGTGCAAACTGTAAACTAACGAGGCCAGCACTTCCCATGACAGCGCAGGACATAGTTCCATCAGTTCTGATTCACTGACTCCGTTGTGACTAACACTGATGAGGCAAAGTATCTACAGTGCAAGAATACAAATAATTTTAATAAAATTTATTTTATTAATTTATCTATTTTAATAAAATTTATTTTACTAATTTATTATTTTTTTTATTTTCTGAGTCTGGTGTGTGACCAGTAATAAATAATACAGCACAGCAGCAAAACAAAACCAGTAGATGCTTCAGGATCAAGCTAAAAAAATATTGAAACAATTAACGTAATAAGCATTAGCATTGAATCTAGATGATGGACAGCTCTCCAGGCAGTTCTGTCTACATTCTTAAAAAAAGTGGGGGAGTTCCCACAACAAAAAGTAACCTCATAAAAATCTCAGCACAGAGATTTAAATGTGCCTAAACAATATAAGAAGCTTTCAGAATGCTTGACAGACATACAAGATTTTAGATCTAAGGGATTTTGATCTTAGCTCTTTCAGAAGAGCTGAAAGATGAAAACATGACTGCAAACTTATCAACTACTGCTTTTGAAAACTGGCTACAACATAAATTGTGTTTGCTGCAAATCTTTCTTCTTATTAGTGTAAATTAAATAGATACTTTATCTGAAGAGACGTAACAAAAGATTTTAGCCACCGCAGACCTACAACAGAGCACTGAAGAGAGAACGGATTTATCTTTTAAACAAGCAGTGACTTTTAAAATGTCAGCATTTCAGCTGTTCAGGAATTCCTATTTGCCGGACCAAATAAAACTCCATGATAAATCAAATTGCATTGAATGTGCATTTGATCATTGACTTTGGAAGGGAAAAGTTTATTTTTTGATAGCAAGCCTGAAGGCAGGGCCTTCTCATAAAGCACTTAATTTTGTTTTAATGAAGCACTGCTTGCCCGATATACTAAATTATAAATCATGCATGTTGCTGTGCATGTGTCCATGTTCTGCAGAAACTATGTGTGTAGTACATGTCCTTGAAACCTGCTGAGGTGTGGGAAGGTCTACAAAAGCGAGGCCAACATTGCCATGTGGTAGAATGTGGAGGGTGGCGCTGTGGGTTAAACCACTGAGCCTAGGACTTGCCGATCAGAAGGTCAGTGGTTCGAATCCCCGTGACGGGGTGAGCTCCCGTTGCTCGGTCCCTGCTCCTGCCAACCTAGCAGTTTGAAAGCATGTCAAAGTGCAAGTAGATAAATAGGTACCGCTCCGGTGGGAAGGTAAACGGCGTTTCTGTGTGCTGCTCTAGTTTGCCAGAAGTGGCTTAGTCATGCTGGCCACATGACCCGGAAGCTGTACGCCAGCTCCCTTGGCCAATAAAGTGAGATGAGCGCCGCAACCCCCGAGCTGGCCACGACTGGACCTAACGGTCAGGGGTCCCTTTACTTTACAACAGACTACGGTACAATTGTTATAATCAACTGAACATGGTGGTGAAAGGTGGGAATCTAAATGTGGATTTTACAATTTGGACTTGGGGCCATTGAAAAACCATTTCTATGAAAGTACATACACATTTCACACACACCCCCCAAAAAAAGAGAGCTTCTTTAGACTTCGTAACTTGCCTCTTTCATGAGGTTTTTGTCTTTTTCACTTTTCAAGGATTCTTCGACTGAATTCAGAACTAGCTTGTACAGCGACACTGTGTCTTGGCATTGCAAAAACTTCAGAAGGATTACGTCAATGTCTTCTGCACTTCCAGCACTGGGAAAGGGGGAGGAGGAAACAAAGGATTTAAAAAGAAAGCACACATTTCACCTGAAACCGAGTATTTAAATTACTACAGAAAATGACTATTTATTATGGACTTCAGCCACTGCTGTGCCCAACTGGAAAAACATCTGCTGGTGTATGTTTCTAAATTTGGGTGGGGGCAGGAAATAAAAATATCAGGCACAAAGCAAAAAGCCTTCAGGTTAAAAAAATAATCCTATAAAGTAAGAGTTTTAAGGTGTTTTTTTTTAAAAAAAAAGATTAAAGCTACTAGCACAAAAACACTTAAAGCAAGGCAGATATTTATTATATTCAAGTTGAGTCCTAAGTTAAATATAACAAATAAACAAGATTGTTCATAAACATCTGTGCAATGAATGTTTTATGGTGTGGTTCTATATCAGCCTTGCTGCTGACACTTGTCAAGAATTACAACCACTTCTTTGCTTGTTTTTCTTTGCAGATTTTTCTTCTCCCTCCGGACAACTCCTTGTCATCCCACCACCAATTCCTTGGCTCTGAGTCTTCTTTCCTTGGGGGGGGGGGGCGGTTCCCCAGCTGGTGTCTCTCTCCTCCCCCCATTCCTCTGCATCCAGCCAGTCCATGACACAAGGTACAAACCAGGGGCTGCGATTTCCAACAAACACATCAGGTTTTTTAACAAGCCAAATTCAAACCATGGGATGTGAAGCTGGTTTGTTTAACTAACCAAAGTTGGATTTAACCGATGATCTCTGGGTACACATGCAACAAGTCAGGTTTTGTGGAAAGTGAAATTAGACTTTGCCCAACTTTAATGGGAGGAGAAGAAGGATGTAAGACATCATGAACCCACAATAGCTCCTTTGTCCTTGCGCTAAACCATGGTTTTAGTTTACATTCTAAATCAGGTCATAGTTTAAACTAGGCAGAGTTCCCTCCAGTTCATATGTCATGATAAACTATGGTTAGTTTTAAACAGGAAGTGGATGTTTCAAAAGAAGACGAGGACAACCAAGTCTGAGTCTTGTTCCTTAAAATTTTTTGCTTGTTAAATTTTATATTTATTAAATTTATATTCCTCTGGGGAAGACCTCCACAAAAGATCTTAAAGCCCAGGTCAGTTCATATGCAGCACTAAAAAAATATTGTACCATTATATCTGAATCAGGCCGCTGTGAAATCTAGATCCCACTAAAAACAGTGATGAAATCCCATTGAATTTAGTGGATCTGGATTCCAAAAGCACAGCTTTTACCTTTTCATCCACAGTATTTGTTTACAGAACACATGCGAAGCACTACAGTTTCCGTATTTATTTCAACATACCCAGCCATCATTCTGCCCAAGAGAGTGACATACAGGGCATTGCAAGTTGTAGCAGAATGACCATGTTTCTCAATCTTCTTCTCCTAGAGCAGGTTTGAACACAAACGTTAAGTATTCTATGAGGCTCTGAAAATACTGCACAAATATACAGGATGAAGGAGAGCACAAGAACAGCGAAACATTGTGGGCAGTATACAAAATATACTCAGGATGGTGCAATGTAAATTACCATATTTCTTGCTCTATAAGACTCACTTTTTCCTTCCTAAAAAGAAAGGGGAAATGTGTGTGCGTCTTATGGGGCGAATGCAGGCTGCGCAGCTATCCCAGAAGCCAGAACAGCAAGAGGGATTGCTGCTTTCACTGCGCAGCGATCCCTCTTGCTGTTCTGGCTTCTGAGATCCAGAATATTTTTTTTTCTTGTTTTCCTCCTCCAAAAACTAGGTGCGTCTTGTGGTCTGGTGTGTCTTATAGAGCGAAAAATACGGTATATGACTTTTTTTTTAAAAAAAGCAATGTAACCACATTACTATATCAATTGCCATCATTCTAGATGACGATCTTTTTTGCAGTAGGGAAAAGATAAAGAACAGGAGAGAACTAGAGAAACTGAGAAACTAGAGAGCAGCTTGCTGAGCTTACTTATGTTGTATTGTCTACAAACTGTCACACTCATAGAAATGTTTATACACAGGGAACTCATTCCACAATCTTTTTTTACTGTTTTAGTTTGAAGAATGCAGTGATTCAGGTCACACATCGTGTCAAACCGTGGTTTGCACTAATAGTTTAAAACCCAAAACATGTTTTTTCCAAGCCATACCAGCAAACCATGGTTCACAGTGACTTGCTTACTTTTTTCTCCATCTGCTAAATACCCTGATTTCTAAAGTGTTGTGGCCTCTTGAGGTACAACAATTACTATAACTAGGCCATGGTGTGCAAAAAACACTTTAAACTATACTTTCTGTTTTGCTGCCTGATCACAAACCATGATCTGCCAATTCAGACATACCAAACCATAGTTTAGCTGCATTTGATGAGATATTTGGGTTGAGCTAATGACGGCTTAAGTGATAGTAAGGTGAAAGATTTTGCTAACTCTTTTTGGCAAATAGATATGTAGATGATCAGAATTCTCTCTCCTTGTTCATTTATCTAACACTACAAAAGCCAAAGCTCAGTGTAATCAACCCCACATAGTTATTAAGAAGACAAAATGGGTGGGATCCTTGGAGAAAAGGGAGGAAAGAAATGCAAGCACACAATCATATGCAGATAACCAAATAATTCCAAAGGGATTTTATGCATGATGGATCGAGCCCTTTGAGTGAAGTGCAGTTATTGGTTTTCCACATTTTACAGCGTTTTGCTTCATTTTAACAAATAATTTAGTTACCCATGTAGAGCTTTAGGAGTTTTCTTCTTGAGTCAAGGACTCTCACTTTGACAGTAGATAACGTCTCCCAGGCTAAAGCATTCACACACATATAAAGAATCAATACCTGTTCTTTTGTCAGTTTCAGGTCCGCACAGCTGCATTCTTCATTAATGAGAGATTTCACATCCTTCGCATTTAATGGCTCAAGATGAAGGGTTGGCCACAACCTTTCAGTGAGAGAGTGGGAAATCACTTCCTTGTAAAGAACAGATTCAAATACTAGAACAGTATTTTTTTAAAAAAATCTAATGCACAATTTGAAGCCTTTACTATTGAGCTCTGGATGACTATAATATAGTTTTGATCTATGCAGTCTGACTATATCAAAGCACTGCAAGTCTCTACATGCACACACCCAAGATTAGTGCACAGGAGATAAAAACTTTTTTGAGATAATGGTTGTATTTCAAAGCCCTAAATACGGAGGAGGCTTGCCATTCTCTTCTAAGAGGGAACACTTAGAAGAGAATGAACTGAACACTTCTTTACTCCTTGGTACATTCCAGCCATTATCAGCCTTGCTGCACAAAGACCTAAAATGGGTGAGAGACCTTTCCGGGCATTAGATTACCATGCAGCACAATCACAGCGGCTGTTCATTTGTTGCACAGGTTCTGGAAGGATGCCACATTTTCCCAGCTGTATAACTTTGCTGGGACAACCTTCTTCTTCCAGGTTATACAGCAGCTGCATCTTGCAGTGCTACAGTGAATGTGGCTGCACAAATGCTGTTGCATATACAGTGGTACCTCTGGATGTGAACGGGATCCGTTCTGGAGCCCCGTTCGCACCCTGAAGCGAATGTAAGACGTGACTGTGCGTCTGCACGTGTGCGGGTCGCGTTTTGCCACTTCCGCACATGCGTGTGACGTCATTTTGAGCGCATGCGCGAGCAGCAAAACCCAGAAGTAACACACTCCGTTACTTTCGGGTTGCTGCAGAGTGCAACCCGAAAATATTTAAGCTGAAGCGTATTCATCCCGAGGTATGACTGTACAGTGGTACCTCGGGTTACATACGCTTCAGGTTACAGACTCCGCTAACCCAGAAATAGTACCTCGGGTTAAGAACTTTGCTTCAGGATGAGAACAGAAATTGTGCTCCGGTGGTATGGTGGCAGCGGCAGGCCCCATTAGCTAAAGTGGTGCTTCAGGTTAAGAACAGTTTCAGGTTAAGAACGGACCTCTGGAACGAATTAAGTACTTAACCCGAGGTACCACTGTACTGCATCATGCCCAAATGATCACTGATGATAGGGAGACTAAGCACCACCTTCCTAAGTGGTCCACACATTTTATGGACTCATTCCACCATCACCACCGCTGAGACTTTTAAATTGTTGTTGTTGGGTGTGCATTACCTACTGCCACGGAAGTGCTTGCAGCTACCTCAAGACTGGAGGCACAATTCAATGGAATGTCCAGGAAGACTGTCTGCCAGCTCCATCTGGTATGATGGCTGAGACCCTACCTGCCTGCGCCCTGTCTCACCAAAGTGGTCCATGCTATGGTTATCTCCTGCTTGGGTTACTGCAATGCACTCTACGTGGGGCTACCTTTGAAGGTGACTCAAAAACTACAACTAAACTTAAAGGCACCTCCTGACTCCTGCCAACTCAAGAGTTTAAGCAGATTGCATTTGAGCATCTCCAGAACAAACTTACCTCCACGCTGGGGGACAAGTTTCAACATTCACAGACACTACGACCCTCACATTCACTGGCAGGGGGTCAATCAGCCATTTCATATGCTTTTCAGCTTGCTGAGAAACAAAGAGTTGAATTCAATCTCATAAGCATGCTGAATAGAACACGGATTTCACCCCACCGCAGGACAACTCTGACACCCCTGATTTTTCCCTTTCAGCAGCCCCCAGAAGTCACAAATGCACAGATTTCCTACAGCCCCCAACAGAAAAATGGTGAAGGGCTGGATTTACGTATAAGCTCAACAAGCTATAGCTTAGGGCCCCACTCTCTTGGGGGCCCCCCAAAAAATTAAAGAAAAAACCCTGGATGTACATTTCCAAAATATAAGATTAAAAACAAATAAAATAAAACCTACATACAGCAACAGTGTTTTGTGTTGTGTAGGCTCCTATGATGTAAGTAATGGGCCCCGTCTGCTAGTCTGCTCCCTAAATATCACTGGTTTGCTCATTTCTATATAGAGGGTGCCTACGTTCTGCATGGGCAAATGGCTTTAGATACCTATTAGGTCCATAAATTACCATATAGCATATATTCAACACAAAAAACAGCGACAATTTGTTGTTGACAAAGAACAGCTGGACATATAAAGGGTTCCATTACCTTCAGTAGCTTAAAGGTAAAGGTAAAGGGACCCTGACCATTAGGTCCAGTCGTGGCCGACTCTGGGGTTGCGGTGCTCATCTCGCTTTATTGGCCAAGGGAGCCGGCGTACAGCTTCTGGGTCATGTGGCCAGCATGACTAAGACGCTTCTGGCGAACCAGATCAGCTCACGGAAACGCCGTTTACCTTCCCGCTGGAGTGGTACCTATTTATCTACTTGCACTTTGATGTGCTTTCGAACTGCTAGGTTGGCAGGAGCAGGGACCAAACAACGGGAGCTCACCCCGTCGCGGGGATTTGAACCACTGACCTTCTGATCGGCAAGTCCTAGGCTCTGTGGTTTAACCCACAGCGCCACCCGTGTCCAACACAAAAAACAGCGACAATTTGTTGTTGACAAAGAACAGCTGGACATATAAAGGGCTCCATTACCTTCAGTAGCTTAGGGCCTCATTAACCCTAAGTCTGGCCCTGAAATGGTGCATATGTTTTCACTTTCCAAGTCTATGTATCTGTGGCCACTGGGAATGCAGTAAACATCTATAATTTCCCCCACCCCCTTCTACATAATGCGTTGCAAGATTCAGTGTTGGGTTCTAAGCCCAACACTTCCAAACTTTAAAAAACAGCAACAACCCTCCTCAATAATATCGAATAAGCATCATCCATTAGCAACGAAAAGGCTGAATGGTGAAATAGCTAATGCACAATAATCAATACAATTCTAAATTCATTTTTCAAGTCAAGTATACTGCAAATGTTACCTGGATCCGATCAATAGAGTCAATAATTATTATAATGCCGCCTTGGTGGTGAGCAGAAAGTTTCTCCAGCCAACGAGGAAATTCTTCTAATAGCTTTACAGGATCGAGCGTCAAAGGTGAGACTGACCAGGAATGCTGCATAAGCTACAACATTGTAAATGTGAGTAAAATATGCTTTACCTAATTGTTGATGAAGCAGGGAACACACAGAAACAGTAAATTAAAGGCAATATATGACCCCATGCTATTTCTTCTTAATTGCATTTTCACTGTAAAGAGGACCAAAAAGCGGATTAAAATATCCATCTGTTTAAATTGATTTTATCAAAATAGGAAGATGAACAATTCTTTCCAGAGATACGTGAATGGTGCTGGAATTACATATAGTATTTTATGACGTGTCAGGATTGAAGAGCATTAGGTTGGTTTAAAGTATTGAGAATTGGACGCTGAGACATTATGCTATCACTGCCCAGTCCTATAGATTTGCTACAAATTGTTGCTTGCGTCATAATAGGTTGTGGTATATAGGGCTGTGCAATATCTGCTTTTCAACATTGTGATAAATCACCAGCTAAACATTGACATATATACCGGTATATCACAATGTCTGAAATAATGATGGAGCTATGTAGAGGCATCGGCTGGCTTCATGGTTTTTCCTGAATTGTGATTTTTCCCAGCACCTCTTCTTGTGATCGAGAGAAGAATTGGCTGGCTTCGCGGTTTCCCCCACATTGTGATTGTTGCATAGCACACGCACGCACATACCATGATTCAATATATACTGCCAGGTCAAAAATTATGAAACTGATATCACAATATGGACTTCAATCTGGTTTTGGAATATATATATATATATATATATAGCCCAGCCCCAGCGGTATCCTATTAAAACTTTTGTCTGTATATGATGGGATGGTAGACCTTTGCAGAATGTAGTCCTCCTTCCCAGTGGGGCTGAATAGCCCATAGAATGCAAAATAATAATAATAATAATAATAATAATAATAATAATAATAATAATATATATTTTTTATTTATACCCTGCCCTCCTCAGCTAAGGCTAGGGGAGGCTAACAAGCAATAATAAAAACAAGTTGAATGCGTACAACTTAAAAACAAGATTAAAATACAACATTAAAATATTGAAACATTAAAATATTAAAATGCAGACTCATCACAGGAGGAGAAAGGAAAAAGGAAAAGAAAGAGGGGGAGGGAATCAAATTGGCTCCAAGCCAAAGGCCAGGCAGAACAACTCTGTCTTACAGGCCCTGCGGAAAGAAATCAGATCCTGCAGGGCCAGTGTTGAAAAGGCCCTGGGCTCTGGTTCATAGAATCATAGAATCATAGAGTTGGAAGAGACCACAAGGGCCATCGAGTCCAACCCCCTGCCAAGCAGGAAACACCATCAGAGCACTCCTGACATATGGTTGTCAAGCCTCTGCTTAAAGACCTCCAAAGAAGGAGACTCCACCACACTCCTTGGCAGCAAATTCCACTGTCGAACAGCTCTTACTGTCAGGAAGTTCTTCCTAATGTTTAGGTGGAATCTTCTTTCTTGTAGTTTGGATCCATTGCTCCGTGTCCGCTTCTCTGGAGCAGCAGAAAACAGCCTTTCTCCCTCCTCTATGTGACATCCTTTTATATATTTGAACATGGCTATCATATCACCCCTTAACCTCCTCTTCTCCAGGCTAAACATGCCCAGCTCCCTTAGCCGTTCCTCATAAGGCATCATTTCCAGGCCTTTGACCATTTTGGTTGCCCTCCTCTGGACACGTTCCAGTTTGTCACTGTCCTTCTTGAACTGTGGTGCCCAGAACTGGACACAGTACTCCAGGTGAGGTCTGACCAGAGCAGAATACAGTGGCACTATTACTTCCCTTGATCTAGATGCTATACTCCTATTGATGAGGCCCAGAATTGCATTGGCTTTTTTAGCTGCCGCATCACACTGTTGGCTCATGTCAAGTTTGTGGTCAACCAAGACTCCTAGATCCTTTTCACATGTACTGCTCTCAAGCCAGGTGTCACCCATCTTGTATTTGTGCCTCTCATTTTTTTTGCCCAAGTGCAATACTTTACATTTCTCCCTGTTAAAATTCATCTTGTTTGTTTTGGCCCAGTTCTCTAATCTGTCAAGGTCGTTTTGAAGTGTGATCCTGTCCTCTGGGGTGTTAGCCACCCCTCCCAGTTTGGTGTCATCTGCAAATTTGATCAGGATGCCCTTGAGTCCATCATCCAAGTCGTTGATAAAGATGTTGAATAAGACCGGGCCCAAGACAGAACCCTGTGGCACCCCACTAGTCACTCTTCTCCAGGATGAAGGGGAACCATTGATGAGCACCCTTTGGGTTCGGTCAGTCAGCCAGTTACAAATCCACTGAGTGGTTGAAGCTAATCTAACTTCCTTAGGGCCCGGGACCACTAGGGTGTTGCTATATATGGACCTTGAGGCTCCATAATTGGTGGATGGGTGGAGAAGAATGATGATTTACTGGCTCAGCTTCAGGGGAAGTGAACTCTGTCGTTATAAGTGCTACATCACCATTTTTGTCCCAGTTGCTGACCTGGCATCGCCCAGCATATGAGGAACCACACAACATCCTGGGTGGCAGGGAGAGGGGACTTAGGACCCACGTATGAATCAATGCCAAGCATAATGAACCATCGTCTTTTTAAAAAAGAACAGTCATATCTTTAAACTACTACTACACTTATACTTCACAGAATGGCTTGCATATGGTTCCCTTCCCAGGCAGCTCACAAGGCCAGAACAGCCCAGCTTCAAGAGTAGACGCTGATTCACTTTGCCTTCACACTACTTTCGGGTCCACAAATTAGGGTATTGTTTTTAAAATATGACTGCATGTATCTAAATCAAGAAAGACAAGCTCAGCAGCAGTGCAGTGTGCTGCCAACTGAAAAACGCCGACTGGGTTTGCCTGGAGCCTCAAACAGACGAAATACCACCTGTCTCTACTTCTTTGTCCAGATGGCTGGGAATTGCCAGGAAAACATATTACTCAGTGCATTAACTCTCAAGTTTTGCTTTTTTGTTATGAACTAACTGGTATTCTTAAGATATATATATATATTTCAGTGTCCTAGAGATTGTTTTTGCATTTTCATGGCATTTGAGACAAAGCAGATATTGCTCACGTCTGAATATCACGTGAAGTCAATCTTTAACTGGCTCCCAAGAAGGAAAATGCAGCCATTTTGCTCTTCTCCATGTTATGGGGGTCAATGCAGCCCACCAGCTAGGCCAGCATTTGGCTTAACATGTCATCCAAAACCAAGATCATGGTTAAGGCCTCTTCTCCTCAACCACAACCTGTAACCATAGGCCAAATCTTGGCTACGCCCCATGGTTAATAAGGAGAGGGCTTAACCGTGGTCAAAGATTCAACATACTATGCCTAACCTTTGCTTCGCTGCAATCCCGTGTTGACCCGAAGGCCCAGGGAAGGAAAAAATGGGAATGACCTCCTTGCCAGGGATCAGAATGTTCACAGTACACCATATGATGGCTTACTGTCAAATCAGAAATTCAAGGCCCGTTAATATAAAACAGTTCTTGACTTTTTCTTTAGCACACAGGCATTCAGGTCCTTAAAAAGACTTTGACGATTCTGCCCTGCCCAATTTTTATTTTTTTGAAATACCTTTAAAGTGAGACGTCTGAGAATCAGCGCAGGCTCTGAACTGCTAGACAGAGGTTTCCCAACGAAATGATATAGGATGAGAGTATTTGGCGAATGCTTCTGTTGCAACTGAATCCTAGGGAGAAGGTGGAGAGACAAACAAGGAAGAAGATGGGTTTCTCGTGAACCTACATTTTCAAAGTTGCATTATGGCATCTAAATGGTGCCAATGATCTTTTGGAATGTTAGTTTACTGGTTTTACTGGTTTTAATATTTTGAGTCGGCTGTATTTAAATGTTTTAAAAAAATGAGCAGAGAAGGACGATCAGTATGCGGGAAATATTGGGACTGTATAGGAATGTAGGAAGATGCCTTGCACCAAGTTGAAACCATTGATCCATTTAGCCCAGTACTAGTTCTCAGGCAGGGTTCATTCCCAGCCAGCCTGAGGTGCTGGGCCCTCGAACTTGAGACCTTCTGCATGCACAACATGTGCCCTGCCACTGAGTTTGTTGACAGCACTTATAAATGCACTGTGCTTTCAGGGGGCATTAGCCAAATTGACCATTCTGACCATCCATGCCTTGCTGTAAGGGAACGGGGGTGGGGTATACACATACTTTGAAAGCGGATGAACAGGAGCAGCCAACTGTCTGGACTTAAAAAGTCTGTACAGCATATTATTCGGAGACAACCCACTCTGTCCAAAGGGGATTCGTTTTTTATGGGGCTTATCGGCCACATTTCTCTCAAAAGGATAGGGGTAGTTAATCAGTGGGTGAGGAAGGTCTGTGTGATCACCTCCCAGCCACCTCAGACTGGCTCTTCAACCATTTTGAGACCACTAAAAAGGGAGCAAAAATCTGACCCTGCAGTTATTAGGCATGTGCAGGATTTCCTTCCTTCCTCCCCTTCCTGACCCATAGAAAGCCAAAACACTTGGGAGTGGCCACAATAGAACCTGTTGCTGGACTACCATCCTATCATCTCCAACCATTGGCCTTGCTGGCTGGGGTTGATGGGAACTGTATGATAAGATAAGAATTGGATTTGATATCCCGCTTTATCACTACCCTAAGGAGTCTCAAAGCGGCTAACAATCTCCTTTCCCTTCCTCCCCCACAACAAACACTCTGTGAGGTGAGTGGGGCTGAGAGACTTCAGAGAAGTGTGACTGGCCCAAGGTCACCCAGCAGCTGCATGTGGAGGAGCGGGGACGCGAACCCGGTTCACCAGATTACGAGTCCACCGCTCTTAACCACTACACTACACTGGCTCTGTAGTTCAGCAACAGCCGGAAGGCAACAGGCTGTCCACCTGTTGTTTAAAAATAGTTTCTCTTGGCTTCCGAAAGGTTGAAGAGGACTGTGCTTTTGAACATTTGCAGAGTACCTTCTATCTGCCAGGTTTATTTCTATCCAAGAGCTATTTTGTGGACTTGGGACTTCTTACTCAGCAGCGTTCATGGGATTTAGGCAGGGAAATCAACACCCAGAAGATCATGGCCTCCCCATCTTTGCTACAGGATATTGGGGTGGGGTGGGGTTGTTAAAAAAGCCCCACATAGAACTGAAAGGCCAAGGAGGAGGAGGAGGAGGAGGAGGAGGAGGAGGAGACGACACAACAGGAACAGACCCTGTCCCTCTATAGGAGCTAAAGTCCAGCTTTGACTCCATTTTGCAAAAGAAGATCCCCAAGAAATACTAACTCTGCTCTAGGCAAGGCAACTGCTCCTCCAATACGTTCCCTTGGCTGTCACGCTAGGACTGGCATATCTGGTTCAGCTCTGAAAGGCTGCTCTTGTGAACTTTCTCTGTTATATCCTGTATTGGGTACAACTATGGTGACCCATAGTAAAAACAAAGAAGGAAAACACTTAAAAGACTATACCATTTTGACAAAAGGAGAGATTTTCCTGAGCCTGGTCCTCCAGACACGAGAAGGGGCGGGATTGGCGCTGGGGCTGCCACCAAGTCATTCAGGCGTTCATAATACTGTAAACAAAAATCAGGCATTGTTAGAAAGAGCTCTGGGGTTAAGTCAAGAAACAGAGTGATTCAAAAAACTAAGCATCTACTTCATCTTGAGGCTCTGTGTGATATATAATAAGAAGATATAACAGCATCTTGGGTCCCCTAAACGCTCAGTTCTAACCACATTGACTCATAAGTCACGCTGAATTTAATTGGCTTGTGTCCACATTAGTATTCTTAAGGACACTGTCTTGGTCACAGATTAGCTCACCATCACTCAGCGGAGGCAGAGCTGAGCTAAGTTTACTTTCTCATGCACCACATGGTTAATAGGCTACCATGATAAGAGGGCTCCCTTGCTCCCGACTCATGCACAGAGGAAGCAAGTAATGACCGCTGGCTTCATGCTTATGTCTGAGCCAGGGATCATTGTTTATTTCCTCTATGCATGAGTGGGAGGAGCAATAGAGCTCTCCAAGGCATGATCACAGCAGACCACTAACCATCATAGGCAAACCACATAAATATTTCACAAGTAGACTTGAATGTCTGGATCCCTTTGCCCTTTTTTAAAAAATATATATCCAGATATTCAATTAGGGGTCTCTCTGTTGGGATACTGCCAGGGAGACAAAGTCCATCATGGCCCCAGGTCGATTCCAGACGTCCATCGATCTCCCGTAGACACGCAGTATCAGCAAGTAGCGACACGAGCTCCAGAAATAGCTTGCCACATTCCAGAGCTGATGCACGCTCTTATCAGCAGATAATGCACAGCAAAAGATGTACGCAGGAGAGCATCCAGATATTCAATTAGGGGTCTCTCAACATCACGTCATTGAAAGTGTCATAGCACATGCTCTTATAACTAAAAGATTTAGTATGATTCTTCAAAAGCTTTGCTTTTAGCCTAGGCCCCTTTCCCCACCAAAATGCAGAATCTCCTCTTACAGCCAATATACTGAAATTCAACATACCCAGAAACAGATGCAATCCTTCCAACATTGATTTATGTAAATGTGATAGAAAAGATACATCCGCAAAACACTTAAATTCACTTAGCATGAAACAATTTCTTCCAATGTATGACTTTTTGAACTCTAGGAGCACCACTATTCCGTTGAGCTACATTTCTAACGTGAGTACAGTGGTACCTCGGGTTACAGATGCTTCAGGTTACATACGCTTCAGGTTACAGACTCCGCTAACCTGGAAATAGTACCTCGGGTTAAGAACTTTGCTTCAGGATGAGAACAGAAATTGTGCGGCGGCGGCAGCAGGAGGCCCCATTAGCTAAAGTGGTACCTCAGATTAAGAACAGTTTCAGGTTAAGAACGGACCTCCAGAACGAATTAAGTTCTTAACCCGAGGTACCACTGTACATTTCCCCCTTCAAATATGCTTTCTGGAGTCTTGGCAGCCAAGCCATTGTACACAATCCAGGCCCCTGTGCGTGTTCCATTGAACACCCAGCTCCCCTGCGCATGTGCTGCCCCTTTGATTAAAACACAGAGGGAGACACCTCCAAGTGCAAAGGAATGTATACATAGAGTTGGTGCCCTTCTTGCCAACAGTGTCCTGTTTAGATTTCTGTGTATGAAAGAAACCAGTGTATTGCAGAAATAGCGTACAATGCAGCAAAACCCAAACGTATTTTAAGTGCCAGGAAAGTCAACAGGACCTTCAGCCTTTAGATTCAGAAGCAGTTCCTGTTAATTTTAACAACAGCGGTTTGCATGTAAGCAGGTGCAGGATCTCAGTTAAAATTCGTACAGTTATCAAGCATTTTGTTTTAAAGATTATCTTGTTCAAAGGGACCTAACATATACAGTAGTACCTCGGGTTACATATGCTTCAGCTTACAGACGCTTCAGCTTACAGACTCCGCTAACCCAGAAACAGTACCTTGGGTTAAGAACTTTGCTTCAGGATGAGAAGAGAAATTGTGCTCCGGCAGCGCGGCGGCAGTGGGAGGCCCCATTAGCTAAAGTGGTGCTTCAGGTTAAGAACAGTTTCAGGTTAAGAACGGACCTCCGGAACGAATTAAGTTCTTAACCCGAGGTACCACTAGAGACTTGCCAAGTCAATAGATTTTCCCCATAACTGGTTTTGCACTGTGGCTCTGATCCTCAAGTGGTTTGAAATACACCTGAATGAGGAGGTTGCACATGCTCACTTGTTTTTTGTCAGCTGTGAGCCACCTTGTCCCCCGATCCGCCTTTTGCACTGGCAGAATGAGCACCGTTGCTGGAAAGCTCTCAGAAAACCTTTGTCTGGGAGCAGCCTAGACTTAAGGTTAAGTTTTTATACAGTGGTACCTCTGGTTAAGCATGTGCAGGGACTCAGGTGGTGCTGTGGGTTAAACCACAGAGCCTAGGACTTGCCAATCAGAAAGTTGGCGGTTCGAATCCCCGCGACGGGGTGAGCTCCCGTTGCTCGGTCCCTGCTCCTGCCAACCTAGCAGTTCAAAAGCACGTCAGAGTGCAAGTAGATAAATAGGTACTGCTCCAGCAGGAAGGTAAATGGTGTTTCCGTGTGCTGCTCTGGTTCGCAAGAAGCGGCTTAGTCATGCTGGCCACATGACCCGGAAGCTGTACGCCGGCTCCCTCGGCCTATAGAGCGAGATGAGTCAGTCACGACTGGACCTAATGGTCAGGGGTACCTTTATCTTTACCTCTGGTTACGTACTTAATTCGTTCTAGAGGTCCGTTCTTAACCCGAAACTGTTCTTAACCTGAAGCACCACTTTAGCTAATGGGGCCTCCTGCTGCCGCCACCGCGCAATTTCTGTTCTCATCCTGAAGCAAAGTTCTTAACCTGAGATACTATTTCCAGGTTAGCGGAGTCTGTAACCTGAAGCGTATGTAACCTGAAGCGTATGTAACCCGAGGTACCACTGTACTTGTTACTTCAACAGTAAGGAAACATACAGCCAGCTGGAATATGATCATTACATTTCCTCCTTGGTATAGGCACATTTGGCAATTGTCCCAGAACCAACCGAATCGTCTGCCTGAGACATATGGCCTCCTTCAGCCTGAAGACTGAAAGCCTCCAGGGATGTTTGCAAACCCCACTCTTCCTGCAAGAGTGGCAGCCCTGCTGCAAGTGAAGGAAAACAGACACAAACACTTATTGTGTGCCTTAAAATAGGGCACAAACTTACTTTCTCAAATCCAAGCTCAGAAGTTGAACTGGACGCCTGCTGGAAGGCCTCCATCTGTTCTTGTTCATCGTGAGCATCCCACAGCACGTCTCCAAAAATTTCCTCTTCGGGAATGGAAGACTCAGCACTGTCTGTTGCGCCCTTCCTTTCCAGTTGTGTAATTTCACAGCCCAGTATATCCTATGTTAGCAGAAAAACAAATCCTATAAAGAAGCAGTGAGTGACTCTTGTCTACGAAGTGGTCAGTGCCCAAAGAAGGAGGTAAAGGTAAAGGTAAAGGGACCCCTGACCATTAGGTCCAGTCGTGACCGACTCGGGTTGCAGCGCTCATCTCGCTTTACTGGCCGAGGGAGCCGGCGTACAGTCATGTGGCCAGCATGACTAAGCCGCTTCTGGAGAACCAGAGCAGCGCACGGAAGCGCCGTTTACCTTCCCGCTGGAGCGGTACCTATTTATCTACTTGTACTCTGACGTGCTTTTGAACTGCTAGGTTGGCAGGAGCAGGGACCGAGCAACGGGAGCTCACCCTGTCGCGGGGATTCGAACCGCCGACCTTCTGATCGGCAAGTCCTAGGCTCTGTGGTTTAACCCACAGCACCACCCGCGTCCCTAAAGAAGGAGGTGCTGGGGCTTAAATCTACCCCAAGGACTTCTCCACCACCAAATTCAGGTGGGCTTTGGAGGAATCATCCTTTCTTCATATAGTTCATGTGTTTTAGGGATGTCCTGCCATCAGTTCAGTTCAAACTTAACATAAAACCATGGTTTTCCTACTACTTTCCTACTACAGCAAATCTTGGGCTTACACGCTTTCTCTGTTTTTTCCTCTTCTGAGCATATAAGGAAAGAGCCTGGAAGCTTCTGATGTCAAACAAACCATTCTGCTGATGTTCTATTTCAGGAGGACATGGGTGGCGCTGTGGTCTAAACCACTGAGCCTTTTGGGCTTGCCGATCAGAAGGTTGGCAGTTTGAATCCCCGTGAAGGAGTGAGCTCCCGTTACTCTGTCCCAGCTCCTGCCAACCTAGCAGTTCAAAAGCATGCCAGTGCAAGTAGATAAATAGATACCACTCTGGTGGGAAGGTAAACGGCGTTTCCATGTGCTCTGGTTTCCGTCACGGTGTTCCGTCAGTTTAAGTCATGCTGGCCACAAGACCTGGAAAGTTGTCTGTGGACAAACACCAGCTCCCTCAGCCTGAAATGAGATGAGCGCCGCAACCCCATAGTCACCTTTGACTAGACTTAAGAGTCCAGGGGTCATTTACCTTTCTTCTTCTTCTTCTTCTTTACAATTTCAGGGTGGTTATTGAGAACAAGCCGGGGACAAATCATGATTTCAGATCTTTGCTTGTTCTCACCAACCACAGTTCAAGCAACCCACAGTTTCCCGAAGTTTGGATATTACCTAAACCTGCAATTAGTTCTAAAGCTGAAGCCAAATGCTTTTGGTTTCCCCCTCTGGCTTTAAATAAGATGCTTTAAAATATACTCTAGATATGTATATAATAATGCAATGTGTGAAGCAACCCCAATTTATGCAAACGAAAGTCAAGAACCCCATGTTGATTTACTCCTTTAAAAAAAATCACAGCATTTATACACTGCTTTTCCACCAGACAACTGGCCTTTGGGGAAATACCTGTTTTATGGTCTTTTCCACATAATTATAGACTTCACGGGCTCCTTCCTCTTCTCCTCCCATATGGCTGATGATCTGGGGTAGGAGGAGAGAGAAATGATTCTGAAAAGACTACGTCTCCAGATAGAAGTAAGTTGTTTATACAGACCTGGGACATCTTATTCAGAAAAGATTTGCACACTTTAAAAAAACAGAAAGTCAGTTCAGCATACTACTCTCCTAGGCAACAATAATTCAATCTCCTGATTCCATAGGAAGCCTAGATGAGCTACTCTTTTCCTTTTAAAAACTGCTCCGTTACAAACATACATAAACTTATTTACATTTTAAAATTAAATATCACAAAAAGAATTAAATGGGGTTGTTGCTTTTCAAAGGGTGTGGATGATCAGGCCAAGCTGCATATTTGGATGAAGGGCTGTATTTAAAATTTGCACCGATATGCAATAACCACCCAATAATAGCCATTTCAAACCCAGTAGTACAAAGGGCAGGAATGACAAAAGACAAAAATGAATGCTAGTAGGGAAGAGTAATTCGAAGAGTATCTTCATTCTTTGAATCCAATTAATTTTAAGGACAGAACATTTTTTTCAGAACTGAACTACATAAACAAAAGCACATTTTAAAGGCCAAAAAATAAAAATAAAAATCCTTCCTCATTAGGGTTCAAGGTGAAAAATATTACTATCACAGCAATCTTAGAAGCAATATCTCTTTTTGGAAACCTCAACCTTTTTTCCACTAGATATTTATATTAAAGACAGAAACAACTATTGCAGCGTGACAGTAAACAACTATCTGGGAAGCAAAATTGATTTGGGATTGCACGATCAGGTTGCATTCAATTGCCTGAATGTGTGCTATTCCATTATCTTCCTGCATGCACTATCCTTAAAAAAAAAATTATTTAAGGCGTCACATACAAATTATGTTAACACCAGCTTCTACAAACGGTTACAAAATAAGAAAACTGATAAACGTACCAACCTCCAGCACACTCTGATTACCTTTGTTTTGTTCACATAACGAACTTGCTCAACTAATCGCTGCACAGAATCCGAACCGACTTGTCCATCTTCCAGTCGGTGGCAAATAAGCCGGGGCTTCCCTTCAGGGTTTTTCAAGAAGGCTTCTTCGCACTCATCCAGCAGGCAGCTAGATTGAAAAACCAGCATTTTTGTGCTATATACTATTCTGCTGTAGCACACAGTTTTCATCAACATCAGCCACAAGGGTGCACTTTTTTCTAGAAAAGGCTCCAGTCAAAAAGGGACAAGCCTTTTTATCAAAAACAAGCAACGTGCCTTAAAAAAACTGAGGGCAAAAACGTACTGAGATTCAGAGTTGTAAAGAAAGAAACAAAAATAAATAAAACCAAATGGGTCTTTTAAGGAAAAGTACCCTTAGGCTGCAATCCTATAAACCCCATTAAACACAGTGAGTAGGCATTAGACATTGCGCTCTTAGTATTCTTTCTAGGAAGAATTCTGGTGTATACATTTGAATAAAGTAAGCGCACTTCAATCGGAATATGTTAGAAAACCTGTGGTGTTGAGACAAGCTGAGTTTTTTAATCTGGTTTAAGCAGGTTCTGTATTCAAGTATTTAAAAACAAAACTGATTGAAAATATATTCCATATACCCAGGAACATCTTAGTGACATAGTCCTCTTTTACTCATGTACTTGCCTGTTTCTGTTTAACGGTTTCCTAAGCTGCTAACTCACCTTGGCAAATTTAGATGCAAGAACAAAATGGCTAAAGAGCTTTTCTCAATTTCCCATTTTCTCACAGCCTGGAAAGTACTTTCGGTTTCTACTGGAAAATGGACAGCTTGGAAGAAGTATTCCATTGTTTCACAATATTTCCGAAGTTTGGGAGAGTATTTCTGAAAGTTAAGAGGAAAATGTGGGTTTTGTTATGGGTGCTAAATTGCCATCACAAAAAAACAAGACTAAGCCATTGTTTCGCTGGGTTTCTCTAACCGGGGTTAACACAAGAAACTCTGGCTAGCAGTAATCACTGTTAACCATTAAGTCTACTCTCAGCCACAGTCATTCATAAATGATTACTAGTAGTGGGTTGTAAGCCTGAGAGTCATTTGACATGCTGGATACCACCTTCCTTCCTAAATCGATTTATTTTCTCTCCAGTTAGCTACAAGATGCTCTGGATGATGCCAAGGACATGCCAAAAGACAGTCCCGTTCTTTCGTTTCTCAGATTTATTTACTTACAATAATTTATAACTCGCTTTTCTATACAAGGATACTCAAACTGGTCCACACAACCGAGCAAAGATAGTACTGAAAGACCAAAATAATATATTATACAAGCACAAGAATAATATCCAAGATCACAGCACAATTTCACGCACAGTTGAAAATAGAAGAGTTTCGAATCAGTTGACATAAAACCCAAAAGCTCACTAGAACAGCCGTATTTTCATTGCTCCACGAAACAAGGGTAGCAATGGTGTCGGACGGACCCCTGTTGGGAGAGTGTTCCACAACACTGGACCTCCCACCCACTTCACCTCCAATGGTTGCAGAATCCAGATTTCAACATTGATTTTAGTGCTCAGGTAGGTTCAAACTGAAGGCAGCAGTTCTGGTTTGGAGGAGTTTGAACTTCCCTTTCTCAAAAAGGTTTGCAAAGGCCCAGGGGCATTTCAAGCTAAGCATAACTATAATAAAACACTTATCCACTTGCTGTACATTATACTGAGATTTTGTTGGTAGATAGGTAAATAAATGACAGTGTGGACTACAACCAGGTGGATGGAAGTTACATTCTGATCAAACCAAAATTCAAAATAAAGTTGCTGTGTCACACAGCCAGAATAATACACTCTTTGCACTGAAGTGATTCATTGTGTCACACACCAGGTCACCGAGGCGTCATAAATTCAGAAAATTCCACTCCAAATGACAGAAAAAAGCCACATTATTTATGAGCCAAGTAATATATTTAAGGCTTATATTGTCTGCTCTGGTGGGTAGCAGTTCTCTATACCTTGAGGCAGACACCTTGCTCAGCAATATGACTCAAAATTACTTTTAAACTAGAAAATGGCAAGCAGTAACCTAGAAATCTTATCAATACAAAACACAGGCTTTACTAACTGGGCAATGTTCCCTGTTTCGAAAACTGTGAAATCAGGATACGGTTTATTGTCCATGTGAAGCAGATTGCAAAGTGTTGTGACAACAGAACGCAGAAAAGTGTAGAAAATCACTAGTATATCCTGCACGCATTTTTATCACCTGTATGAAGATGTCTACATCTTGCTGAGTCTCTTCTGTACTGATCAGATACACCCTAACAGTATTGCTCCACAAAGAGTGGGAAAACAAGGGAGTGACTTGCAGCAAACTAGCGACAGCTGCATCCCAGTCATCTGCAAAAGTAAGAAAAGACAACACACACAAACACATTGTTAGCTGATTCAAAACCACCAATCAGCTTAATGCAGCCCAGCCAGCCTATCCCTCCCACCATGCTCTTCCGACAGCCACAGGGGACGGTATGCAATTGGCATGGCCTGTCAATGTTGCCAGGCTGGAACTTAAGGTCCACAAAATGTTGCTCATTTATCAATATTTCTTTAAACTGAATGTCACGTTTCGAAGCAGCGAATGAAAATATCCTGTACTACCAAGTACGTGTGCCGTAGTGCTCTCTTTAAAAAGAAAAGAAGTCCCTTTGGGTGGCTTCACACAGAGAGAGACACACATATCACTTCTGAATTTGAAAAGTGATGCTTCTAACAACCACAACAACACAACACTCATTTCAGGATAGGGAGGGAAGATTCATTCAATCAATCAATCAATCAATCAATCATTATTTCACCAGTTTAAACCTCAATTGCCACTACAGATCATCTGCAAAGAAGCTGGAATTTGTGCCGGTACGTGATATAACTAAAACACTGGTGAAAAGATGAATTGTTCTGTAGGTCGATTCCGCATTTCATCCACAGTTTGTCTTGAAGTGATACAACACTGCAAGATTTTGTCTCGGGTCTTTTTAAATTCTTCAGAAAGAACCAAGGCCTTACCTCTGTTGACATTTGCAAATGGCCCTTCCACATCTATGGAGCTATGTGCAAACTCAGGGCCTCGGAAGGACTGCTGAAGCTGTATCATGCTGCCCATGGAAGGCTCGCTTCCCAAAGCTCCGCCAGTCCAATACTCAGTCTGAGCTCCAGTGGCTTAAAAAGGAAACAAGCATTTACTGATGGATACCTATTGTTTACATAGACTGGTCATCAATTACCTAGTCATTTAGGCGACATGCAACAATTTAATCAGCATAACATAAATCAAATGATGAATGATCAAATTAGGTAACATAAAACAACAGCTTAAAACACAATCAGATTATTATCATTGTATAACCCAGGCTAGCTTCTGGTGTTGATATAATATCTTGGGTGTTTGGCCATTAAGGGAAACAAAGGAAAGACGCTCAGTGTGAGATGGCAAATACCGTATTTTTCCCTCTATAACACGCAGATTTTTTCTCCTAAAAAGTAAGGGGAAATGTCTATGCGTGTTATTGAGCGAATGTGTGGTCCCTGGAGCCGACATTGCGGTCAGCAGAAGCCAGGGAAGTGCTTGCTAGGAGGCTTGGCCACTCTGCAGCGCGACTGTGTGTTTGCTAGTGTGTGTGCTTTGTGAGTGTGTGGTTGCCTGTGTGTTTGTTCGCTAGCGTGGGTGCTTGGAGGGAGTGAGAGAGTGACTGACTGCCGCATCTTCTCCTGCAATTTGCCTTTTAAAAAATTGGAAGCAGCGGGGCAGTAAAAACCACCTCTGAAAGCCCCATTTTTCCCTTCTAAGGCTGCAGCTCGGCTTTAGGAGCCCTGAACCCCTGCCTTGTTCTTGAGGGATCTTTGAGGTTTTCCCTTTAGCTTTAACCCAGTCCCCTTATTTTACCAGTTTATCTTCATTCTCGGTGTGGTAAACTGATTGCAGGCAGCCACACGTGCGTTCGAGCCTCCCGAGAGAGAAAGCTGTTGCTTTCCTGCATTCTGCCTCAGGGTCTTACTGCCCACCCGCTTCTGTTTCGTTACTGTGTTTGCTCAAACGAAACAAAGAGCAGAGAAAACCCCTCCCCTCCAGGCAAGGAGAGGGGAAAGCAGAGGTCTTTCCTTCTACCGTAATTCCTCTCCGTGCTCCGGTGGTGCTGCTGCTGCGTCTAGGGACTCGCAGGCAACATGCAGGTGGGGGGGGGGGAGAGAGAGAGAGCTAGCTGGCTGGCTTGGGTGGGTGGCTGGGGGAACTTTTGCCTTCCTTTCCTCCCCCCCACCCCGTTAAACTCCTCCCCTGCATTCTTAGCCAGCTGCTTCTCCGCACACCCCTCTGGGTGCTCCTTGTCCCTTCTGTTTTTCCTTCCCTCCCCACTTAAAACGTGGTTACAAAGCATGGATCCACATGGATCCTCAGGATCTTTGCATTGGGTCACCCCAAATTCACCATCAGATCACATAGCATATCCATGGCTACAGCCTGCACCAAAAAAAATCACGCACCCACTGTTGCCTGGGGCTGCAATGGTACAAAAACGTGGTTACAAAGCATGGATCCACATGGATCCTCAGGATCTTTGCATAGGGTCAGCCCAAATTCAACATCAGATCACATAGCATATCCATGGCTACAGCCTGCACCAAAAAAAATCACGCACCCACTGTTGCCTGGGGCTGCAATGGTACAAAAACGTGGTTACAAAGCACAGATCCACATGGATTCTCAGGATTTTTGCATTGGGCTACCCCAAAGTCACCATCAAATCACATGTCTGTGGCCACAGCATGAAGCACAAAAGTGATACATCCACTGTTTCATTCAGAATTTTTTTTTCTTGTTTTCCTCCTCTCAAAATTATGTGCGTGTTATGGTCAGGTGTGTGTTATCGAGCGAAAAATACGGTAGTTAGAAGGACAAAGCCTGAGTTAAAGAGTTGAGTTGCAGTGATGTGACCAAGAATTAAATCAGCAAGCTGGAGAGTCAGAAGAGTAATTGAGAGTTATTGTTTGATTTCTGTTTGAATCCAAGACTGCAGCTATAGGAAAATTAAGACCTTTTTGGGGTGTTAACGCTGCAACCCCTCCATCATAGGCTCAGGTTGTATATATGTGTAGATAAAACTTTATATCATAAAGACACCGCAGTCTCTGCTGTGCCTCATTTCCAAAAGGAAACATGAGCACTGGGGAAGCGCCTAAGACCCACGGAATCTTGCACCGCTAGGAGTTTGGGGTGGGGTGCAACATTACATTAGGGGGTCAAATAGCATCTTTTGGCAGTGGTGCACGTGAGGATTACTGTACAGCGATACTACAATTTGAAATGGCTTGTGTGATGAGTTCATGGGTGGGTGGGTAGTAATTTAGCAGAGTATCATTGTTTAAAAGTTAATATTATGTAGTAGTTTTTTTAATCCACCAGGAATAGAAGCCGATAGCTTTTTGTCTATCTTATGCTACATACAGTGGTACCTCGGGTTACATACACTTCAGGTTACAGACGCTTCAGATTAAGACTCCGCTAACCCAGAGATAGTACCTCGGGTTAAGAACTTTGCTTCAGGATGAGAACAGAAATCGCGCAGCTGCGGTGCGGCGGCAGCGGGAGGCCTCATTAGCTAAAGTGGTGCTTCAGGTTAAGAACAGTTTCAGGTTAAGAATGGACCTCCGGAACGAATTAAGTACTTAACCCGAGGTATACATTGTCCCCCCACAACTGGCAAAAGCAGGAGGTTAAAATTCTTACCGGTAACCTCAGTGCAGCTTTCATCTGAATCCGACTCCTCGGGATCAAAGACCTGGATGCCCTGGGCTTGCAGCCTCTGCAGTTTTGCCTCCAGATCCCTCTTAGCCCTCAGTAAATCCTGAATTTCGTTTTCCTTGGTTTCTCTAAAAATCTAGATAAAAAAGTAAGGTTAACTAATGACCAGCCAGAATTTACAGCTGTTATAAAACACCACTTAATAGTATGTGAGAGTCCTTTCATTCTGGCATGAAACTAACACCCGCTGGGACAGTCCAGTGTACAAGCGACAGGACCCTCAGCCCCCACCACGACCCAATGTGAAAGACAGAAGGAAAATAAGTAGACACAAATGGGAACTGCAACAAAATCTTGCAGTGTGGAGTGGCCCTGTTTAGGGTTTCGGCCACTTTTCCTTCTTCAAAATGCTCCATTCGATTCCTTCCTCTAGTTTTGTGTTTTCTCCCATTAACAGACACTCGGCATACATGTTCAGTGCCCACTGAGTTGCAGGGAGGTCTCCCCTTGAATATTCCCCAAGCATATTGATACCTCCTTTTTGTTTCGCAGCGGCCAGTCCTGGTTTCAAAAGCTACCGGCACTCAGCACCTGAATTGGCTGCTAGAAGGAGCGATTTACCTTGAACTGCCTCTTGACTTTGTCCCGGTCGTGTTCGAATGTAGCTGCTCTCTCCATGGCTTGATATTTGGCTTCTAGAGCACTTTCTTTCTCCCGGAGTATCTTTTGATATGTTTTCTGAAGTGCCTAAAAAAAGACCGGTGTTATTGAGAAAGAGAGAGAGTTTTCCCTAGGATGAAAAATTACAGCTAAGCAATGGTTTTGACTGTTAACGTCTAAGTGTCAGAATAGAAAAATTGGCAGCTTGCAAGAAGCTGCTCTCCAATTCCAAAGCGGTGTTGTTGTTTTATTATGTTTGGTCTTGTAAACCTATGCCTCTTTTTGCTAGCCCAAGATGGCTGCCCCAGCCTTTCAAGTTACCTGTAGCTCTGCCCGAAGTCTCTTATTCTCCTTATCCAGCTTGTTCTCCTTTTTCATCATAGAGGCCACCTCGTTGTTCTTGCTGATGCGGAAGATCTCGTACTCCTTTTTCAGGCGCTCGTACTCCGCCATGCATTCCAGCTCCTGTACGGACGCTGTGGACTTGAAGCTGGCTCCGATGAGGCCTCCAGGCCGCGACGTCCCCACACGGCGGAAGGAGCTGCGCAGGAGGCGGGCTTTGGGCTTCACCTCCACGGGGATCTCGCAAGCTTCGCCACCACCTCCCTCGTAGGTGTCTTCAATCACCTCCCCGACTGTGCCGATGGGGTTCACCAACGATGAAGCCGTCCCCATAGTGCCTTCCTCAAGCCCCGTCTCTTCTTGATGGAAGTTACTGCCTTACTCAAAGGCTACACCTGTTCACCCATCCTCAGTATTTATGCCAAGACCCACAACTGCAGCTTTAAAGCTCTGTGCCAGCCCTATAGCCACAGATCGGCCTCCATTCTCCCATTCCACTTAGCCATGAACTGTTCCAAGATTGTCCGGCTGCTTCAGCTAGCCAGCTCTTTAGGTTCGCAACATGGCCAGGGTTTTTTGAATGCACAGTCTTCAGGGCTCTGCATCTTCTAGATACTCAACAGGGAAATATTTTTAAAATTTGCAAATCAGCACGTATGGATTAAGAATGACAACCCCACTCCCCCTGACAAAAGTTATTTTATTTTATTATTTTTCTTAAACCCCAACACACTACCAAGCACTGGATTCTCCTCCTGGGTCAATTCTTACACTGCTCAGCCAAGACTGCAGCCACATGGTAAAGATTTTGTGAGTCTAGCATCAGT